GGCCGCCCCTGCCGCGGCGGCCTCCGGGCCCCCGAGCAGGCTGCGCTGGCGCCCGCCTCGCCGCTGGCGCGCCCCGCAGTCACGCGAGCCCCTCTCTGTCTCTAGTTCGCCACTGTCTACAAAGCGAGGGACAAGAACAGCAACCGAATCGTGGCTATTAAAAAGGTGAGTGCCGGAGTGCTTTCCCGCTGCGCGATCAAAACTCTGGTTGTTCTTGACCCGCCTGAGGACTTTTTTATTTTTTTAACCTACTTAAACGGGTAACGGGAGAAGACGTTTTTTTGTTTCTAGAGTGTTTTGTTTAAACGATCTAGTTAACCCGTCTTTAGTGCTGCCACCCACCCCCCAAGAAGAGAGGCTGACTTCAGTCTTACTACGTTTCTGCGTTTCTAGAAGGGTTACCTGGTCTGTAACTTGAAATTTCAGTTATTTGTTAGATTTAGTTAAAAAACAAACAAACCAACACACATATTTCCAAACTTCAGACTTCATTGGTCCTTGATAGTGGCTTTTTTTTTTTTTGGTCTTTGCTCCTGCTGTGCCCGGTTTCCTTCGGGCTAGGAACGTTACTCCTGATTAAGTTCTTAGACTAGATGGTACTTTTGTGACAAAATTTGACAAAGAGATCTTGGATCTGCAGCGTACCTGTTTGAATACAAATGTTGAAAGTTTTTGTGTTGTCGTGAAGTGTTTCACTTCATACTATCTGAAGAAATTGCAGGAAGTTTTTGTGTTAAAAATAGGTGATTAGCTGTGCTTTGTAAGGGATGAAAAATGCTCATTACAGTGCTTTGGTTAGGCAAGTTGAACCATATCAATAGTAAGTAATTTTATTTGATACACTAATCCCTTTTAGGATTATAATACTTCTCCTGTATGGTTGCGACTAGTAGTAGCGGTTGTGAAAAGCATTCTTGTTTATATTGAATATTTACTTAACTTTTATCATCTCAAAATATCAATGGCAGGATTCTGGACTTGAAAATTTTAGGGGAGTAGGTTTAGACAGAATGACTTCAAGCCAGCCCAAGTTTATAGAGTATTTACTAGAATCATTCTAAGATGACCGTCAATTACTTTGCCTTCATTTCTCCTTGAGGAGAAGCTCGTTAGTGGCACAATAAAGCCTTGTGGCTACAAAGCATTTTCTGCTGACAGTTTGTGTTATGGCTGTTTTCACCACCATCATGATTATTTTTAAGCTTTTATAAAAACTAATGCTGTAGAGACAATTATTTTTTTAAGGGAAAAAAAAAAAGCCAACCAAAAAACCAAAACCAACCCTAGCTGGTAAAATGCTTCATGGTACTGAAACTCATTCTGTCTTAGAAGAATAACACTAAAGTATGTATCGCCTACTGTTGGCACAGATGGCTTAATCTTATATAAATATGAAACATTTCTTTTCAGATTAAACTGGGACATAGATCAGAAGCTAAAGATGGTGAGTTTTAAAACAAATTCGTGCTGCAGAAGCTGTGCTTTGTTTGCTTTTTTTTTTGTAAATTGGTACGTTAATTTCCCACACCATAACTTGGCTGAGAAAAATCAGCTCAACTGTCAGTGTAAGGCTTAGTAGAGGATTGCTTCCCAAACTGCAGAGACAGAAAAAAGCAGCAGAGATATCCGCATGCATAGTATATGTCTAAATATGTGTATATAACTGCTTAGCTTCTCAGTTTAAGTGCAGTACAAACATGAGTATAGCACAGAATAATAATCTTTACAGTACTGAGTTTAGAATGCCTTTTTGTATTGATGCATCTCTGTGCCCTAAATATTTAAGACAGGTGAGAGTATTTACCTCTGTTTTCAGATGTTTCCTTTGTTCTATTTTTGTGATTTATGCTGAGAAAAAAGTTGGTAAAAACAAGATCTTAAAACCCTTTTCTCTGTGTGGGTTTCTTTTATGCTGAGAAATCAGGTCTATAGAATGGTGTCTTTTGGTCATGTGCTCTGACCAGCCACATGTCTTTAGGTACAGATATTGCAAGTAAAAACCTAATAATCTTGGTTTTCTCTGACAGCCTATGTGGTGCAGTAGAATTTTGTATGCATGTAGGCTGCCATCCTTCTGGGATCCTGCATCAGGTTACCAGCTTTCCAGTGAAGAATCTTTGCTCTCAACTCTCCAATTCCATTGTAAGGGAAGAATTTTTAAAGAGAAACTGAGCACTCATCCCAGACTCTCACAGTTGAGCCAACTGCCAGAGTCATGATCCACCTGGCCTTCAGAGGACTAGTATCCTTTAAGGACAGTCATTACTTTTGGCCTATACAATTTTTAGCTATCTTTCAAAGAATGGTCATATCTGGTTTCCCTGTGTTATCTGATTTAAAAAAACAAAAGTACACCAGGTTAATCTAAGGCTTTGCCCACCCAAAAGCAGCCATTGTCAACTTAATCCCAAAATAGGTAATTAAAATAGGCAAAGCAGGAGTGTAAAGTAATCCATGTAGCGCTGCTTAAAACTTCAGTAGAGTCTTATGTGTTGAATCATCCCAGGTTTTGGGAGGACACTGTTTTTCAGCTCAGCACAGCTGAAACTTCCTGCACAACATACTGCAGGAGCATTTGCTTGCCAGTCAGTTTTTGTACAAGCCATAAATACCAGCATTTTTGAAAGAGGAGTTGTTATCCTGCAGGAGTCATGGTTTGATGCAGTGCGGTCAGTGTGACTGCCAAAGTGCACTGTCTCACCCCAGTTTTTCCTCTATAAAATCTGGCCGTTAAAGGATTCAAGCAAGCGTGAGCAGGTTTTGGCCACTGTACCTTTATGCCACAGCATGAATACAGAAAAACTTTCGTGCTTTGCCTTATTAAATACTGATATGTCAAAAAGAAAACAGATATATTCATGAGGTTTGTCAGTGTGCCTCCCTCTGGAGGTGACACACATGGAAGAACTGATATTTGCAAGGTGTAACTTTTCTTTAAAATAAAACCAAAGCTTTTAATACCCTGAAAAAGATCATTATTTTTTTTCCTAGGTTTTGTTAGAACTTTCCCTTTTTGCCAAAATGGGGACGTGTTGCTCCATAATATAAATCCAATTAGTGTGGTGTAGAATTTATTTGCTGTGGGAGAAAGTTTATCTATGGCAATGTCCTTGTTATTTAGTGAATTGTTGAGTGGTGAGAAAGTAGTTTGTAGTAGTAAATTGTCCATCAGTAACAGAACAAGAGGCTTCTCTGGAGCTTAGTCCAAAGTTTTAAATTTTGTTCTGTGTCTCTTCTTTTTTTTTTTTTTTTTTTAATGTAGGAATCAACAGAACAGCCCTCAGGGAGATAAAATTGTTACAGGAGCTAAGTCATCCAAATATTATTGGTGTAAGTAAAATGAATGCTACTTCTAGAATCAGTCCTCAAATACTTTTGGTACAGGTTCAAACTGAAATTTGGAATTACTTGGGTCATGGCGATGCTACTTAATTTTATTTGAGCTATTTTTTCCACCCCCAAATGGGCAGTAAAATAATGTTATGGCAAAGCACCTATTTCAATAACAAGGACAAAGTAGTTTCTTTTGAAATTCTCTTTTTAGCTTGGAGCTGTATGGATATTAATGGTGGGGACAATCGTGGAAATCTAGATTACCTGTTTTGCATCTCTGACAGACTTGCAAATTAGTGCAGTGCCGAATTTACCTGATTGTTTGCTTCAAATGGAACCAGTGACAGCCAAAAGCAGGCTTTTGTAATTAATGGTGATGTGGTATTCATGTGACTTACTAGGTTTTAGTGCTGATACCTAAAATGTGTATTGGAAGGAGTGAAACCTGTATCTTTTCAGTTGCGTTTAGGTTGACTTCCAGGTACAGATATCCAGCTGGAGCTAAAGATATTTTAAGATTAGCTAATAGTGATAGCTAATAGTGATAATTTGAAGGTCTGCCATAAATATTAGACTAAATATGAATTTTCCAGATTTGTTTAACTTTTTTGAGTGGAAATTGTGAACTTGCTTTCAAAGTTTCAAAGCTTTAGCTATCAAAGTTAGAGAATGTGCAGAGAAAGACAGCTAAAACGGCAAAGGGATGGAGCATCTTTATGAAAAAGTCTGGTATTACTCACTGGTGAGGAAAAGGCTGGGAATGGGAAGGTCTGCAAAACTGAGGTGGTAGGTAAAGTGCATGCAGAACTGATATTTGCAAAACCCCACAGTACTAGAAATAAGAGGTGTGTTTAAAACATATTTTTGTTGCGGGGCTGGGGGGGTGGAAATTGTACTACTTGACACAGTGTGTAGTGAATTTCTCAAATGTGTTGCCAGGGTCATTGTAGAAGCAGATAGCATCAGCAGTTTAAAAAGGAATTAGGCAAATCAATCATCAGTAGGTCCATAAGCAGGTACTAAAGGCAATAGACGAGGTTGTACCCCTCTGAGCAGTCCTGATAAAACTGTTGTGTGTGTTGGAATTAATAAGGGGTTGTGAATTACAAAAAGTGGCCCAGGCTGTAGGCTCACCTGCATAGTATCTCCTGTTACCATGGTTTCTGCAGAGGAAGAGCATGAGCATAATCACTGCTGTTATAAGCTATACAAATGACTATCCTGCAATTGGGTGATTCACACGGTCATCATATTGAGACTGTAATGAATGAGCCGCACCATGGAGAGCATACCTTCCTTGGGGGTAGAATACCAGGCTAGATGATCTGTGGTTCTTACTGAGCATCACGCTTGTGTTATCTCAAATTAAAAACTGATTTTGTCATTATACAGCTTTATCCTAAGAAAGGGCTGTTTGGATAGTCTCCAAAGTTTTATTTATCCTAGAAATCTTGCTACAAAGATGAATAGGTGCCTAAGAATATCTTTGAAAGGAAGTTAATAAGCCTAACACTTAGAATTTCTAAATGCTGCATGCTTACAGGAGGCAGATACAGAACTGAATCCATGGGAAAACTTAGTCTGGTCTCAAGAAAGGGTAGGAGTTTGTAGAACAGCAAGTTTTGGGAGGAGGACAAGGTGTGTGTTAGATTATATGTTGTAGCTAAAATGGGAAAGTTAATTCTTTCTTTTCTCCTCCCCCTCCCCCCCCCCAAAAACCAAAAACAAAACTCCAGGAAGGAGAGGCAATTGTGTAAAATGTTATTACTGTGCTTAATGAGGATTCTTTTTTTGGAGACTGAGTTAAAAAGTTAAACTGAGAAAGAATTGTTTGTATTGCAAGTCAAAAAACTTAAACCAGTTCAGCAAGCTGAAAATCCATATGCAGACTACAATGGTGCAGAATTTTAGAAAACTGGAAGTATGAGAGTATGCTTCATCATAATGTATTTTGTTTTACAGCTTCTAGATGCATTTGGACACAAGTCCAACATTAGTTTGGTGTTTGATTTTATGGAAACGGATCTAGAGGTAAGACTTTTTAAAGACTTTATTTCAGTGTCTTCAAATGGTTTTTGCAAATATTACTTTAACAGGCTTACATTTGCCCGTGTTAGAATGGTGACTTTCATTATGTCAGTTGATTAAGGTCATGTCTTTAAAGTAGGTTGAATAATTTGACAATTTTTGTGAGTTCTCAGCTGATACTTTTAAGTACTTGTCAGCATGATCTTCAAGAAGCAGATTGTTTACTATGTTAGTTTTCAGGGACTCCAGTCACAGTGTAGAACCTCAGTCATAGATCAGCATCTCAGAGTGCAATTGCTAAGCATAATATCATCAAATGTGTTCAAGTAAGTGTGATACTGAAGTGTATCAGATGATGAGCTGGTACTAAAATTGCATGCATCTGAACCTTTCTTTTAAATGTAACAATGCTAGGTACTTGCAAATCAGCATCTTACAGATGTTTCGTTCTCCAAGACTTAAGTCAGTTTGTCTTTGCAGAAGTCTTTGTATGAGATATTTTGATGCAAGATTCTTAATTTTGGAAGACTGTCCTAGATGGCAATTCATGTCAGATCTGTATATGCACACATTATACTTACTCTGGACTGAAATTAATGTAGCTGTTAGCTAGCTCGTTTCACATATGCTATTAGGAACTGGGGCTAGCATTTAAAATAATAAAAGAAGACATTGATAGGCTTGCTGAAACCTAGATGAATGCAAGACTGAAAAGGTTAGATCAGGTTTTTTGTTAATAGAAGTTTAATAAGTAGACTTTCTAGAGGATTCATTCTCTTAGTAACTATGCAACATTTACAGCTGAAGAAGATAAAAGTGTACAAAGAAGAATGAAATACTCTTGTACTACATAATGCCGTGGTATGCAGAGCATTTAACTGTATTGTGGTATCACTCAGGCCACCCTTTGGGCCTGCAGCCTATTGTGATTGGGCATGTGCTGGATACCTGAAACTTTGTGTAGTCTTAGACAGCTATTTTGTAAGTTTCAAACAACTTAAAGCTTAGGAAAGGCTATTACTGAACTGGACAGTAATATTAGCAAGGAAGTTTTGGGGAGTAGTATAGAAACTGCTTTCAAACAGGATGTTTACATAGAATTTTAATGTTAAAAATCAATGAATGTAGAAAACATAAGTAGATTTGTTAAAATATAGTAAAGTGGCCGTACCTCCTGGTTGTCTTGGAAATAAAGGAAACCATTGCATTTACGAAGATTAGATGCTTAGGTTGTACAGAGAAGGAAGGAATAAGTGGGAACATAATTTCAGGTTTACTGACACATTTATCATTTTTATGTGTACATCTTTGTCTTGTAAGTTTGGGTATCAGCCTGGAACTGAGAAAATAATAAACTGATGTTTCCCACCAATTTTCACGTTTGGTGGTTATGCTGAGTTCATGTAGGCTATCTGGGCTCCCCATTTAAATTTCTGATCTCCACAATAGACCTATTATTCTTAAAAAAGGGTGAGAATGGTAGAGAATATGTGACTGTCAATTTGAACTTTGTCTTAAAAGATGAAATAACTTTTGAGCTGAAAGAATGGAAGTAAGTTAATCTTTACTATCAATCTAACACTTTACAGGTTATTATAAAGGATACTAGTATTGTGTTGACACAATCTCACATCAAGGCATATATGCTGATGACACTTCAAGGATTAGAATATTTACATCAACACTGGATTCTACACAGGGTAAGCACGTACTAAATTGACAGCCTTTATGCTGTAACAAAAGTCACATTTGATAGAATTTGAGTCTAAAGTTTAATAAAGGTAGTCTTGATGTTCAGACGTTCTTAGTCCATAAGCATTCATGCTGTTTTGGAGAGCCAACAGCAGTACCAGAAATCTTAAGAACTGCTGATATGGTTATTTAGATATCTATATGAAGTGTCTCAACTTAACATATGACTTTGAGTAGCACTGTGAACTGGATCTGGCTGGGATGAATTGGACTCCTTTCACAACAACCTGTATGGTGCCATGTTTTGAATTTGTGCCTAATATAGTTCTGGTAGCACGCTGCTGTTTTGGCTGTTGTTGAACAGTGCTTGGGCATTGTCAAGGCTTTCTTTTTCCCACTCTGCCCGTGCCCTGGTGAGTAGGCTGGGGGTGGGCAAGAAGTAGGGAGGGGAAACGGCTGGGAAAGCTGACCCAAGTTGGCCAGAGGGAAACTGCATGCCATATAATGCCACGCTCAGCAGTAAAAACTGGGGTAGAGGAAGAAGGGGGTTTTTTGGCTTCCAAGGTGGCTGTTGCCTGGAGACTGACTGGGCATCAGTCTGCTTGTGGGAGGTGGTGAATGATTTCCACTGCATTGCTTGCTCGTTTGGTTTTTTTCCACTTTTCTATGCCTGTTAAACTGTCTTTCGAGCAGTGTCCCAGAGTTTTCTTGCTTTGGTCTTCTCTCTCCTGTCATGCTGGGGAGGAGAGGGGATTAGAATAGGGTGAGCAATGGCTGTGTGGGTGCTTTGCTGCTGGCCAGAGGTCAATGCACAACACACTGTTACTGTATTTAACTGTATCACTTCCATGACTTCTACAGTTATTTGAAACACTTGCAAGGTCTTTTTATTATCTGTTTGACAACTACGCAGCTAAGACAGAACTGTTCCTGCAGCAAAGCTAAAACCTATCAAGAGGCAGGTTTTTTTTAAACTCTGCAGCTTAAGTATAATATTCAAATGGGTATGTTTCACTATGATTTGCATGTATGGTGAAATAATTGATTTCCTGGGGTTTTTTCAGTTTTTTTCCTCACAGTGTAGACTTACAATAGAATCAAAAGCCTGCACTTTAAAATACTGTTATGGCACACCTGCTAGGAGGTTCATTATATGTCTGTTTTTATCAACACTGACAAAATTCTTTCTTTACTTTCTGTGCTGACAGGATCTTAAACCAAATAATTTGTTGTTAGATGAAAATGGGGTTTTAAAATTGGCTGACTTTGGCTTGGCAAAATCTTTTGGAAGCCCAAATAGAGTTTACACACACCAGGTAGTAACAAGGTAAGACATTCTATTTTGTTTCTTACATAGTGATTGTGTGGTTGTTTTGCAGTGTCTTTTGAAATATGTCATGTCAAATCAACACGTTCGAAGTTTGACATCTAGCTGATGTGATATGGCCGTAGCGCCAAAAGCTTCATAAAGAAAACACAAGAAAGCATTGTTTAGCAAGGTCTCTGTAAGAACCGCTAGAATATGCGTCCATGGGGGTTGTTCTGAGGTATGATACTCTTTTGAAATGCATGGAAATAATATGTATCTGCCTATAAGCCTGGCTTCAGAGCAAGACAGCTGTTGCTTTCTGTTAATCATGAGACCGAGAATCTTTTTTTGTAGCTAGTCACATTACCTATTATGAGACAAAAGCTTGAACCAATTAAAATATTTATTAATGTTATTTATGACATGCTTTTTTAAGGTATGCTTTAAAAAGCAGGGCTGCAAAATACACAAGGTACTTCCTTTTGTCTGCTGTAATGCTAAAGCTATTCAGGCAAAGCTGGTTTGTTTTAATACCTTGGTTCAAAAGTCAGAAATGCTACAGTAGTTTCAAATGCAGCATGGATCAGATCATTGCATTAAACTTGATTGTTCTTAGGCAGTGGAGGTAGCTGTTTTAAACAACTGCTGTCAAGGTTAATTTTGCATGAAACTAGTCTTTATACTTAGGTCTGTTGGTATGGAGACTTTTGGAAGCTGGAAGGAATTCTGTCCTCCTGACATTTCTTCAACATAAAGTTTAAAGAAAATTTTGGTTTATAACATCTAAACCTACCTCTTAAATACTTATTTCCTTTGCATATCTGCAGTTCTGTTGCTTCTTAACCAGCTCAGTTGAAACTGTAGTTAATTTGTGGTTATATGTGACCCCACAGTGAAGAATGCACAGCTTTGTTCAGTCTTTCTTAAAACACTTTGCAGGATAGAGTATAGCACTTCAGTGTCTGAAAAATATATAGGCAGGAACAGTATCCTCTTTGTAGTTCTTGCATTGCTACAACATACAGCATTTGCCATGAGCAAAGCCAGGTGATTTTTCCCAATATGTGTTTTCTTTTCAGATGGTACCGAGCCCCAGAACTATTGTTTGGTGCTAGAATGTATGGTGTTGGTGTTGATATGTGGGCTGTTGGTTGTATTTTAGCTGAATTGCTCCTCAGGGTAAGTCTTCAAATGTAAGCATTTTTAATTTGCTTTTCATTACATTACAGAGTGCATTACAACTTCATATGTGGGTTTCCCCTCTCCTGCTAACAGCAGCAGGTGAAGGCAGTTAGGCTGTTCAGGAAAGGAAGGGAAAAAGGCTTCCAAAAGCTTGCAAACTGTAAGGAAAGTGAAGTTTTGGAATAGACTGAGGTTCCGTAAGCATCGCAATCATTGGAAGACAGCTGGGTAAAAAAATTGTAACAAACTCTCACAGTCTTGCCTTGAGGAAAGTTGAATAGATAACACTCAGAGGACTGGAAGAGTTATCCTTTCACACAGCTTTCTATCAGTTTTCATTTGCTGTCCTTCTGGAAATTTGACATCATAGATACATGCATACTCTGTCCCTTATACATTGTTCCTCAATAACTGTGAATAATTATCACCAGTACCTTAACTGTGGGTTTACTTGTAATGAGCAGAAGACTTGTGTTTTTTCTAAACTTAGTTAACAATACTGGAATGAAGCTGAAGGTTAACATCAAGTAATTCTATGCCACTCCTGAGTACAGTGCACAGATGTAATGGTCCTTAAGTATGTTTTACTGAAGCAGACCATTTATTGTGCAGATCTGTGTAGAGGACATGAAAGTGTGAGGTGGAGGGTGGAGGGCAGGGGCACAGACACAGCTGAAGCCATGAAGTAGCATGCAGTATAATTTCTTCAATGACTACGTGGCTTCTGCTTGGTTTTTGCACTGTACTTTTAAGTGTTTGTGTGGCCATGTCATGAACCATACTGGGGAACTGGTCTGTCTGAAAACACCTTGAAAGAAATCTTTTGATTTGGTGTATCACTCGTACAATTTGGTTGGCAGTTCAGAAATGGAGATGTACAGTGGCTGTTTAAGCAGTACTTGTGTATGTAAATATGTGTTAGACCTCCTAAGTTGAATAAACTCAAAGTCAGAAAGGAAATAAGAAATTGCTGAATTCTGTTGATTCTTTGGTTTCTCACAAAGCATAAATGTGTAATGGTTCAGTTTTGTCACTGCGATAATTTTAAATGTATCTGTCCTTTTTCTTCCTGAGTGTACTGGGTTGAGGGACAATACAACTTCTGGGAGCTTTACAAAAGCAGTTTATGTTCAAGGCACTTTCATGACACCAAAATTTAGTACACTGCCTAGTAGGGATGTTCATTACAGTCTTTCTGTCCTACTTGATTAAATACTGCCTCTAATTCTTAATAATTTTGCTTTGGTCACAGTCTTTTTTTTCTTGCATTGTGTGCCTGATGCACAAGCTACAAGTTAAACTGAGCAAATATCCCCTTTTTTGTCTTCTGCTTAGTTTAAATGAGATGTGACACTGATTAGGCAGTTTCTAACCTAGTGGGTCACTACTGTCCCTTGTGCTGTTGTCTAATTCCATCAGTCTAACTGCTGCTTGTGTAACCCAGTTACGATTCACTTTAAATGTTTTGAATATATATAAAACCTAACTTCAGGAAGCAGATGATGGAAAGATCAACGTGAGTCACCAGCTTTAAACTGGCAACTGAGATGTAAAATCTTTCCTTTCCTGTGTTTAGTTATTTTACATTAATGTGGTGGTGGTCTAATCTTATGTTTAGCTCTCTGCTATCAAGTCAGTGATACCAAGCCTGGGTTGCAAGAAACCTTCGGAATCTATTTGGACATAACTAGAAGGCCTCAAATATTCAGTGTACCTCTTTGTGGGCAGCTGGTATACAAAGATGTTTTGCCCTGCAATTATAAGGGATAGCTCAAAGCTCCTCTCTAGAATTGAAATTCAGAAGTTAATTCAATCAAATGCTGTTGCCTTCTTCCAGGTTCCTTTCTTGCCTGGAGACTCTGATCTTGACCAGCTGACAAGGATATTTGAAACACTGGGCACCCCAACGGAAGAACAGTGGCCTGTGAGTGCTTTTGTTTAACAGACTGACAATAGTTTTACTTGTTACTCTTTATTTTAGCTTTTGAAATTAAATTAAAGGGTATACCAGAATACTTGAGTAGGTTTTCAGAAGGCATCTGCCTGATCGCACAAAGCAGAGGATAAGCAGCTGAAATTTATTGTTTCTCTTGGCTAGTCTCTGGTCAATATAGCAGTGTTGTTAGCATTAAGCAACAGTAATGAAATTTTTTGGTTTCCTTTCTGCATGTATCCGCAGTTTCCCATGGCTATTGGTGTGAAATTATTGTTGTTGCTTAATGTTTTTGAGATGCTTGATTAATTAGTCTGCTTTAACCTGAAAGGCTTTAATCACTTTCAGAAGTAGGAACAATTTGTAGGGACTTAAGTTGGCCTGCATAAGTTATAGTTTTGGGATACATTAAGAAACACCAGACCAACAGCTTTAGGGACAAACAGTTTATCTCAGAGTAACAGTACTATAACAAATACAAATTAGTAGAACAATTATCTCTTGAGATGACAGTAAACTCAGTAATAACAGGCCAAACTTAGTGTCAGGGCACACAATGACCTACATAACCATGGTTATCAGGCAGACTGACAGGAAGCAGAGCAGAACTTATGATGAGTGAATTGGACCAGCTGATGGGCACGGGGAGTCCTGAATTCCTTGATCAGACTGTTCTCTTTTGTAGTTGAGTTGTGGAAGCACTCTCTGGACGTGCTAACCAGTTATCACATCCCACCTCTTCTTCCTCTGTTGCAGTTTTCCTTTATGTGAATGGTGCTTGGATGCTACCTTAAGTAGTGCACAATCACCAAATGGAGCTATGGCGATATAAGATGTGTGGTCACTATATGGAGCAGACACTGTATAAGGCAATACAGCCCCACATTTTCAGCCCTTGCTTACGTGACTGTGTGAGGGAAAGGGTGGTTGTTTTGCCATGGCTGCATAAGGCCAAGACCAATGTTGACACTACCCACCTCACTGGGAGTGTCAGGTGTGGAGAGGAGTCTGGTCATGGGGTGATGAAGGGTTAAATTGAGACAAGACAGTCAATAAGGTGGTGTGCCAAGAAACCATCAGAACAGTACGGGCCAAAAGCCAAGTACAAATCTTTAATACGACAACTAAAACAAGTAAGAAGCCACTGAAAATAAGCATTACAACTAGGTAAATAAGCAGGATGTTCCATATCCCCCTAATGGTGGGAGGCCATCCTGAAATGGATTCCTGCCAACTATGTTTGACTTTTTTTTAAACACTTCCCAGGATTTGTTTCATCTCTGGTACCATGGTTATTAAAGTTTGTTGTGCCTGCTTCTTTGCCTGTTTGAACAGTCGATGCAAGTCTTCATGTTGCAAAAGCCATTCAATTAGAGATAATTCATATTGATAAGGGTATGGATGGTATGGTGGGTTTGGGAAGGGAAGTAGGAGAGGGACTTGGAGATGTGGGAATAATATTATGCTTAAGAAAGCTATCGGAGTGTTAGCCTGTAGGTATACAGTATCAACAGTGAGAAAATAAGGGTCAAGCTACAAAAGGGTTAACGTAGGCATACAAGATGCTGATTGTTGATCCACTGATGTGTTGGTCCCTTAAATGATATAGAGGCATCTCCCATTTGAATTGTTTACAATCCCACAGTTAACTGTGGTGTTCTGCTCTTGGCTTATGGAGGTATAACGTAATCTCAAAGAAGGATTCCATACTGGAGAGCTGTGGGGTTTTCCTCCTACCAGTGTTAAAGTAGCAAAGTTCCTTAAGCCAGGTTTTCCCATTTGTCCATACAATTTGAATACATTCTGTTCATTACATTTGAAGATGTATTTCACAGTGTGCTGCAACCTGGGCTAAAGCTTTAGCAGCGGGTAACTCCAGTGCTCATGCAACTGGTGAGTTACCACAGTGGTCCCACATTCCAGGTTGCAGGTTTGGCCTAAGGTTTCCTCAGTTTCGTCTGCTATTATTGGGCTGCTGTCAGCTTATCATGGGCATCAGTGTCCACTATCACTTCCACCCCTCTGATTGCAGCAGTGGCATCTGCTCAGTCATTCCACCTAGCCTCAACCATGTGGTGAGCAGAATGGGATCAACACAGCCAACAGCCAAAGTGTGCACCTATCTTCCTAAAGAAGGTGGCCCCTAATTACTGCAGTAAGAGTGCAGAAGGAGCACACTTTCCAAGAGGGAAAGCCACCACATGCACCTAGAACATGTCAGGGGTCAGATAGTGTGGGCAGAGCAGTAAATGGCTAAGCAAAGGGCCAGGAGTTCTGGCCATCTGTGCAGTACCATGGTGATTTGGCCATCAGTGGTTTGGACAGTGACGTCACACCCAAACCAGGCATTACTGCAAAGGATTGCTGAGCCATCAGTAAACCAGGCAACTTTTTGCAGGGTGGTGAAAGGAGGGACCTAGGTAATGGCAAATCTGAGTGATTGTTGGTGGCTACAGGAATGGGAAAGGTGAGGTGGGTGAGGATACAATGGTTGGGGCCTAAAGGTTGGGGTCCATCAGTGATGACAGGTATACCAAGAACCTAGTGTTGAGTGGCAATGGATTGAGTTTATCCTTCAGGGAAAGCAATGTTGTGAAGGATGTCATGAAGAATAGGACATAAAACCCTAAGTGTAAGGGGATGATCCTGAAGGAGCTTGTCAGTGTCAGAAAAGGTAGCAAGTAAAGCATGCTCCCATTCACGATATAAGGCTTGTGCATATTGCCACCCCTTGCTACCAAAATGGATAGGTTTAGGGGTGGAGTCCTTGGAACTTCTCTCCTGGAACAGTCCCCACCAGGCACCATTTCCACTCTACTGGACCCTGAGTTCAAATCTGCCAGTAGGGGTGAGGGGTCCTAAATGTTGAATACTTTTTAGGAGAAGGGTTAAGGCCTGTTGATGACTTGTGTTCCAGTCCCAGGTGAAATGTTTTTGCAGCAAGGAATATGGAGGATGGACTAGCTGACTAAAACCAGGGACATGGGCATGCTGTAATTTATGAAGTGCCTAAAATCTCTGCAGGTTGTGTTTGGAGAGGGAGTAGGTAAAGATAAAACAGATTACAAGATGATTTCAGAATACTTTTGGTACCGGCATAGAAGGAGACTCACATTCTCGGCAGGAGCGTGGCATTTGCAGGGAGGAATAAAAAGATCCCAGTGTTCTTTCAGAGCTGAAACTAAGAGGGTTATATCCTGTGCAACAGATTCATGTGTAGGTCTGCCCATGAGGATGTCATTGGTATAGTGGTGGCAGAAGAGATCAGGAGTGGAAGAAGTTTCAGCTAAGGCTAAGAGACTGTGAGTAAGGGTATGACTATGGTGATAATATTGAAGTAAATGAGTAAAGGTGTACTGAATGTTATTCCATGTAAAAGTAAAGTGACCTTGATCATTTAAGTGGATGGGGCACTGGAAGAACATATCTTTAATGTCCAAAACTGCCATCCATAGGTAAGAAGCAGGCAAATGGTGTTGAGTATGTCAGCAGCTATTAGGACTGATGCGTGAAGCAGAGAGGAGGCAGAATGTGTGCTACAGTAGGCAGCGGTCAGATGCCGAGACCTATTTGTTGGGTTTGCCCACTGGCCAGATGGGGCTGCTAAATGGGGTGTGGGTGTGAGTGACTGTCATGACCCAGGCTGGACAGAACAGGGATGGGTCGTGGTGAATTCGGAATCCCCTCAGGCTGAATTAAGGTGAGGTGACACCAAATGATCAAACATTTTATTCATGGCAGAAGCAGCCTGCGCTTGGAAGGCAGAACAGCAGGTGGCGGGGTTTCTCCCAGTAAGAATTGGCACGGAACTACCTCAGTAAACTGTAACCCGTGGTGACCATATAAATCAATTCAGGGAAGAAAATAAGGAGATCCCTCCCGTTGAGTCAGGAGGTTCAGAGCAGACCCCCTTGCTTTCTAGACTCCTCCTCAGAGAGGAGCCCAGGGGCGGCTGGATCCACTCCTAGTCCCAGACTTGTAGTCAGTGGTTTATGTCTAAACAGATGAGGTGTGGGGATTGTGGGAAAAAAGAGAGGGAGACAGAGAGAAAATAGAAGGATTTCACAGGTCCTGGGTCCAGCGTTGGTCCAGTCAGGAGAGGGGTCCAGTTCTGGTGGGCGCATGCGCAGGGCTCCTTGTGTTGGTGTATTTTATAGCCCAGTTCCCGCCTTTTCTCATGTCAGTCACACCCCTCTTGGTCTTCTGCACACTGCCTGTAAGGACTTAGCTAACTCTCGATCTTGTGTGCTGGTGCTGTTGTGGGGGGTGGTCCTGAAGGGTCCCTCGGGCAGCTGTGAGCCCCTTCTCACACAAACTTTGTATGACCTCTGGCCATGTACGATGAGCTGCCTGGCTCAGCATATGTATCATCCTCCCGCATGCCCTCTGCCCTCTGTGCTAGGCAGAACTTGGCTTCTTTGTTATGTAGGGTTTGTTGTTGCTCCACCACAATGTTTGAGACATTAACTCATTCAGTCTCTCACAATGACTACTTCCTGTTCTTCCAGCCCTGTAAGAAGGGAGGCAGGTGATGAGGTTTTGGGCTTGTGGTTTTACAGGGTCCTGCTGTAAATTAACAGCATGGGTCATTGGAGGTAGGGGAGGTACTTACTGGAACTAGCAGGTGGTTTGGTTCAGAAGTACCAAGATACCGTACCTCGCCTTGAGCATCATGGAAGGTTTGGCTTCTGAGTCGGTTCATATCTTAAGATGTTAGAATATCCCAAAACTGCAGATCCTTGGGACGTACGTCTATTGGGGAAGTCATGCTTGACTGACTACAGGAAGAGCTATGAGTGGTCCTGTGAGCTCGCAGACTACTGCAGTATGAGGGAAGTGGTCCGCTCCAGTATGTGATCTATTGATGACAAATTTCAGCACCTGGATCAATGAGGCAATGCAAATACAATTTATCATTGATGGTGACATCTAGCACTAGATTGGAAGTCCATATAAGCCACACCCTCTGTAGCATGTCAGAGAGACTGGTGGCTTCTGACCAGACCCTGTGGTGCTATTTGGACCTCTAGTAAGTTTGGGTAACGGAGGCTGAGGTTTCCAGGCTCCAGCTGATGGAATGGCAGGAGGGGCACTTGGGCTTTACCTCCAATGGGAGAATGTGTGGCACAATGTGGGGTGTTGGCAAGAGCCAGTAACGCTGATCCTGGGACTCTGTGTATTGCTGTTTTGGGAATGCCCAGGGCCAAACGGGCTTTCTCAAGGTCTTTGGGTCAGGGCCCTTTCACAGAGGCTTAGGGAGGTTTTTTTTAACTTACAGGGACACAACAGGATTTGGTGGTAATTATAGCTGCATCTTTAGGGAGATGGGAAGATAACAGAACAGGCACAGCAGAAGCTACCTTTTGTAATGGCAGGGACTGTGTGGGGCTGTGTGCTGCACCTGTAAGGCCAGTGCTTATTGATATTAAATGTCCTATGAGTGGACCCTTTTTGACTAGTAGGCACCACTGTGTCTCAGTGGGATGATGACAGGTCTTTGCCATGAGGCCTATGTCTAAAGCATGATTGATAACCAACTTAGCTATGCTCAATTCTAAATCTGTGGGATTGGCCAGGGTCCTCAGTCATCTCTGAACATCCTGGTCTAGGATCCATCCAGAGAAACCTGGTCTAGTGGAAGGTGTCCCTGCCCATGGCAGGGGGTTTGGAACTAGATGATGTTTAAGGACCCTTCCAACCCAAATCATTCTATCATTCATTCTATGATCTTGGGGCACTCTCTTTGAACATAAGCTGTTGATGCCCAAAAGACAGTGTCTGTATTTTCTGATGGAATTAGGGTCAGATTCCAGACCCTAAAGTGAGGGTCTGAGCTTCTGATTCTGAAACTTGAATGGTATCCCCTCCTCATATTTGCAAGCTAGGCTAAGTAATCCTCAATAACAGACTGTGATGGCACTTGCTTGATTTGTCTTATTTGTAAAAGGGCATGTGGAGATACTTGTGATACCTCCATTAGCATCATACTCGTTTTCAATAATTGATGGGATTCATAAGTCTCGTTGGGCTTCAAGAATTTGATGTATCATCGTTTGAATCCAAATCAAACCAAGTATTTCCTTCCACGTCTTCTTGGTCAATATATAAAGCTTTATGTATTTTTGTTGCAGAAATTCCCTTTTCTGTAGCTTCCAGCTGCGGGTCAAGTTTTTCTTGGGCAGGTGCTGCCACAAGGGGGACATCGAGGTGTTCTAATTTCTCCACACGAGCCTGCATGCCTTTAACACAGGCAGTGGCGAGTATGACAGATGCAGGCTGAGTATCCTGCTGGGCTTGAGCCCATTCTTTTTGTAGGGAGACAGCTGAAGCTTTGGCTGCAGTCAGTGGTGTTCAGTATTTCCAAGACAGTGCACAAAGAGGAATAGACAGAGTAACCTCCCCTTCATGTTTTTGTCTTTCTGAATTTCTGTAATTAAAGTAGCCATGGAAAAGGGAACAGGTGCTTCCCTCCGTCAGAGAATCTGGTGTCTGTGGGCACGGCAAAACAACCAATTAGGGCACGCGGTACAAGGTTGGGGCAGGTAATGATGTTGTGTACTATGTCCCACTTCTGACACTAGAGATGGTCCAGCCAAGTTACATGTTCAGGATATGGTAACAGACACCAGACCAATAGCTTTAGGGATAAACAGTTTATCTGAGAATAATGGTGCAGTAACAGATACAAATCAGTAGTATCATTATCTGGGTCAAGATGACAGTAAATCCAGTAATTCACTAATACTGGGCTAAACTTAATGTCAGGGCGCACAATGACCTAGATAACTGTGGTTATCAGGCAGGCTGACAGGAAGTGGGGCATGGCTTCTTTGGACGGGCAACTTGGACCAGCTGATGGGCATGGGTGGTCCAGAATTCCCTGATCAGACCATCCTCTTTTGTGGTTGAGTTGTGGAAGCGCTTTCTGGACTTGTTAACCAGTTGTCACATCACACCTCTGTTCCCTCTCTGTGCTGCTTTTCCTTTGTGTGAATGGTGCTTGAATGCTATGGTACACAATCACCAAATGGAGCTATAGCCAGATGGAGAAATATCATATAACGCACTACTAGCCCCACACAATTCTGTTGCTGCTCCAGAATTCTGAATGAAATGCATGAAGATCTTTGCAATGACATTTCTGCTTTCTTTGGAGAGGAAGAGTTAAGAATGGGTGGGGAGAGGGGAGAATAGGAGACTTGCTAGCATGGCAAAGATGATGCATTCCCAAATTAATTTGCAAACCCATGCATTTCAAGAATTGAAATACTGTCAAGATTATAACTGATTGAGCACATTTTTCACTTCAGTGTTAATACTTTATTTTGCTTGGATAAACTTAATGAAGTGTGATGACTAGAGGTTTAAAATACTTAAAACTATTAAAATACTATGTTTGGATAATTGTCTGTTACAAGATCATTTTTATTATAGTTTGAATACAATGGGATTGTTTTCATACCTACAGGAGGAAAAAGTATGCAATTCATCTGTTTAACTGCTTGGCATATTTTCCTTCCCTCCCCCTGCTCCCCAGAGAAAAAGTTTCAGTTGTGCATTTCAAAAGTAGCTCAAAATGCTCATGATGATCAGCTAACTTTGAGGAGAAGGACAGTGTATTATTAACTGGGAGAAAATGGGAGACTGGCTATTTTGTGAATCTTGTCTCTTACACCATGTCAGTTTGCAAAAGAAAAAAGTTTTACTTCATTTGTCTGCACCCACCCTAGAGTTCTTTTGTACTTCCTTTCTTTGTTAGCAGTTTTTCCTTTTGGACTGGTCACCACTAAAGCAAGGGAAGGGAGCTCACTTTGAAAGGGAAAGTGTGAAACAACTATAACAGTTAAAAAAAAAAAAGTCTTTATGACCTACTATTACTACATTTATTTTATTTCAGTGACCATGTATTAGCAAGATGTTTTGAAAGATAATTTGCTTCTGCCAAAAGACAGCCATGTGAAGTTCCCTTTCTGTGAGAAGCTCAGCTCTTTCTAACTTGAAAAACATACATTCTATTTTTGGCCTTTGTAGGGGATGACAAGTCTTCCAGATTATGTCGCATTTAAGTCTTTCCCTGGAATGCCACTTCAACATATCTTCAGTGCAGCTGGTGATGATTTACTCAACCTTCTGCAAGGCTTATTCACATTTAATCCTTGCACTAGGGTTACGGCTACTCAGGTATAGTACACTTGCATTATGTCCTAATGTTCATTAACTACTGTTTAATATCAGACAAATGTGCTTTGAAGCCAGTAAGCCAGATTTGAAATGAAATATATATAGCTCTGTTTATGAAATACTAGGAACAAATTTCCAGTGTTTTATAGAGAGAACTCAAAGGCATGAATAATGCTGACTGATTGTCTCCATTCCCAATGTGGAGCAAAGGCAGACAACTAAAGGGTGTATGAGTCATGGCCTTCAGACGGTCATTGTATGACATTCAAAATTCAGTCACCTAAAGCTTGAAACTTAAGTCTTAGCATTTCTTATTCCCTGGGTTTGAAAGGTTTTCACCCTTAACTTGATCCAGTCTCTTCTTCAATTTCATTTAAACTTTTTTCATTCTTTTTTAACAAAGTTTTGTCATGATTTAAACCAGCATTCTGATCTGAATATCCTTTTCCATTATACTTGGGTGAAACTGATCTCAATTTCACTACTCCTTAATGGGGAGAAATGAAGGACTTTGAATAAAAATATTGCAGAATGTTCTAGTTCAGAATATTGATTTCTTCTATGAGGAAGATATAGCAGTTGGCAATTTCAAAACTGTATTTCTGTGACCTCACACTGTTGGGGAAGCATGCAAGAAACAGAGCTGTCCCCTTAAGGCCAGGACTCCCTCATTGCTTGTTACACAAGGCAGATCCCAGTCCAGGGGATTAGTGTATGTGTTATGTATTTTTTCACTAGAAGACTTCTCCAGAGCACATCAGGTTTTTTGGTCACCATCTTTAAGAACTTTCAATATATGTTTCCAAATAATTAGTTTTGCTATGCCTGGGACATGTCTGTACTACTTCGTAAGTATGGAGTGATTTTATAGGTCATATTGTAGGATGGTGACTTGAATATTGAATATATATGATTTTTCTAGTCTAGCATTTTTATTGACAATCCACAGTTTAAGGCAGGAAAGAATTTGCACTGTATTGGCTTGTTTTATAGCTGACTTTGAATACCATGTAACTGATATTAGCAAAAGTGATGATTACGTAGGAGACAGCTTAGCCAATAGGATATGTAATTCCACCAAATGAAATTAACTCTGCACACTTGTCTGTCTTCTGCTCTAATTCAAACTACACTTCTCTCACAGTTTACAGTGTAGAAACAGCACATTTATAGAAATTTTGGGGAAAGACCTATCTTAAAAGCTAGCAAAACAGCTGGTGTCCAGGTCCTAGATTTGACCAAGATATAATGTTTTAACCTTTCTTTATTCCTACTTTCTTCTTTATCCTCTTGTCTCATCTGTCTGTTCAGATTGTAAGTTCTTCAGAGTTAGAAGCTTACTGTTTGTATAAGACCACCTTCAATGTAGTCTAGAGTTTTGTTAGGATGTCTGAGTACTAGTTAAAAATAACAGTACACAATTATATCTTGGCTTACAAATCAAAGTGCTGTGGGTAGTCATTGAGAACACAAAATCTTTATTTGCCCCAAGGCCACCTTCTAATATAAAAGTGTCCAATTAGTTTTGAAGTCCCCATTGCACATGCTTTATTTCATTACAACTTCTTCATAGATGGTGTTCTGACACTTTATACTAATTACTTGGTTATTTTTCTTCCATTATCATTAAGGCATTGAAACAGAAGTACTTCAGTAACCGACCAGGACCCACTCCAGGAAATCAGCTGCCAAGACCCAACTGTCCTGCAGAAGCTGTAAAGGAGCAACAAAATGCACTTTTACATTTAAAAAAGAGAAGAACAGAAGGAATAGATCAAGGTAACCTCTTAATGTTTCACCTGTTTTAAAATAGCAGTTACATGCTCAGAGAGAATGTGATACTTCCAATGTTTCAGAACAAAAACTACATCCTTGTATGGACTACATCCCTGAGCACCAGCACCAGCTGAAGCTCTTTAATGATTTATGTTTTAGGATAAATGCTTTAGGGTGAGAATTACTTAGTTCTGTGTTCTAACAGAATTGGTACAAAAAAGGCTCTTCTATGATGCTTAGGAATCTATTCATTAGAAGCAATATCTAATTCCATTAATTTCTGTAATGGAGTGTGCTACTACCCAGTAAATTATAGGTTATTATGATGCCCTTTATTTTTTTTCTAAGACATCTTACTGAGGTGGAAATCACTGAACTTTACATCACTGAAACCAAAAAAGGGTGGGGGTGAGAGAGAGAGAGAGAAACATAGTGTGTTATTTTTTCAAAAGTCAGACTGGGAGCGTAAATCAGGTTCAGAAGGGAGATTTCTGCTCACTGTCTCTTAGACCAAGCAAGTTAACTGTTAAGACCGCTCTGGGTAAGGAACATTAAGCACATTTCTGTAACCCTTTTAAAAGGCAAGCCTATTCCCTAGCATTTACTTCTATAGGGAGCCTCCAGTCTTTCCCAAACATTAGCACGTACTTTGTATCTTCATGACAAAAAAAGCTTCAGGGCTGTATCTGACACTAAATGACCCAGACCTTCTAGTAGAGAGGCAAATGTTGGTTCTTAAGCTTGGAGTTGGTCTTCTTAACAGCTTGAATATGCTAGATAGCAGCTGTCAGGTTAGCATCAGCTTTTTGTTATTGCCAGTATGAGACTGTTTTGATACAAGAGTGGTATCTTTTTGGAATGGAGATGCTTCTATGAAAGTGCATTTCCTCTTGAATTCAGAAATGCAGCTATGTTATTAGAGTTTAACTTACTTTTGGGGCACTTTGACTTCTTGTTTCTTAGTCTGTGTCAAATTAGAAGTACAATGCATTAGTTCCCTCTAGATTAAGATTCTAATCTCAAAGAAAAATTTAATCAGTTGATTATTTGCATGCTCTTTGCTGACCCCAGTACCATGGGTTAACTAACACATGGGAGCTTGTCAAGTTACCATAGCTTAAGTAATTAATTTAAGCTTTTTAGCTCCTTTTGGAAGGACCATGTGATTAGCGTTTTGGAGTACATACCCTAAAATATGCCTTTTAACTAAACGACAGGAAAGAGAAATAAATGCTTCCTTGAGTTCTGTGACTTAACCATTTGAAGTCTTGCATTCAACAATGAGCAGAGTTGCCAGAGCTGTATTAAGCTAGAACACTAATTGCTTTAACATCTTTCTGAAAGTCTTATCTTCAGGAAGAGGAAATCAGACTTGTGTGTTAAATGCCAGGAATTTTGAGATTGGCTATAACTAAGGCATTTAGGAAGTCAGCATTACTTTTTAAGACATTTGAGTATCAGTATAAAAAGCAGTATCATTTCCACTAAGTGGAAATGGAAACATAATGGATTTTCTGATGTGGATTTTCTGTTATGTTCTGTTACTGTCTTAGCTGGGCTGCCAGAACCAGAGGGTCTCAAAGGTAGATCCTCCAGTGCCAGCAAACATTAAAGAGAGCCAATGTTAGAGCTAGCAAATCTGCTACCCTGGATTTCATTTTACATGCTTACATGGTGTTATCTAAAGTTAAAATCTGAATGTCGGTTTGGAAGAAAAATCCTACAGTCTCTGTCTAAACAAAATTTCAAGTACAGCATGTTTTTAATGCTATTGAGGGTGTAAATGTGCAAAAGCAATTTCAAAGAAAGATAACTTGCATCCCCTGAAATTCTTAGGCTGGCCTGTGCTTGCATCTTGCACAGTACATTCTCTTTCCCTTAGCCCTGTTGAGGTGGCACTCTGAACTTAGGAGAACGGACTGAGTGAATACTGATGTAATCTTATATACCTCTTATAATCCCTTTTATAAAATGTTGGCAACAGCGGCTGGCTGCCAGGAGAGAATTTATGCCGTCTCTGTAAGTCCTGCTTTTCCATGAGAACAAACCCCTGTAGCATGTGGGGCATGTTCACCAAACTTAAATGTGCAGCAGCTGTACTTCTCAAAAAACCCAGCCTTTTTATTGTCATGGGAAAACCATCACTAAATGGATGACTGCCTGTGAAAAGTATTGAGCATGCATCATTTCTAGCTGTTGCTACCACTTATTTCTGATCAGTGAAGTATGTGGAGACACTGATGCTATGATGACATCATTGTGCATCTTTACTCTGGCAAACACTTAGTCAAAAGCAGCACTCCTTCCCCGGGACACTAATTTCTAGTCTTATTAATCTGCATTTCTATGGAGCCATAGGTTTGCAAAACAGTATAAAAGATACCGCACTAAACTTTTTCCTGAGTTAATGCAGTATAAGGAATCTTATCTAATTTCAGAACTATTCTACACTGGTTTGGGAAAAAATCATTCTGTTCATATCTAAGGTTAATAATTTGTATTCTTTGGGCATTCATTTAAAGTTCATAGGTATGATTCAATGTCAGTGTATTTTAGAGGAGACTTCTGCCTATAGGGTGGGCAAAAACAGTTGGATCCCTTCATAGTAAGCTTCATATCCATACCAGAAGGCAGCTATGGTTTGTTCTACCTACATTATAAATAAGTAGCATATGAAGAAATGAGAGGACAAGATCTGGAATAGAATCAGAAAAGTACTGCTGCCCCCATCATCTCTACAGCTGATACTAAACAAATACATGGTTAAAGAATGAGGCACAGACTGAAGGGGCTATTACTTCCTGCAGACGGCTTATTGCTGGCTAGTGACAGCATGTTAGAAAAATCATTACAAGTGTATGTGTGGTGGGCAGGGTTAAGCCTTAGAATAGTTTGTCTTTCTTAGGTTTAAAAGTAGAATTAACTGGCTAGCTTTTTATACAAATAAAGAGAAATACTTACATGTATCCCAAATGCAATTAACACTTAATTACAGAATTTGGGACTCATTTGGAGTACACATACTGATTCAAGTGAGCTTTGATTCTAGTAGTCTTCCATAGATTAATTGGAAAAAATCATTATGTATTGCTGCCGCAGTAAACAGCATTAAGCAGCTCAGAGTAGATGTATCTCAAGAACAGTATCAAATGAATACTAAAGCCTTGAGGAGGGGGCTGGTCCCCTTTACTTTGGTAACAATGTGATTTACACTTTTCAGGATTACCAAAAAAATTGATTTTTTGATTGCTGTGGATGGTGGATGAAAAAGAGTGAAAATGGCCTGAGTCCCAACCATTGAAAAAACGCTGTAATAGTCACTGGATGGTTATTTTGTAATATTGTCATATGTAAAATGTGAATTTAATATTTCCTTGCTGAAACAGAGGTTTCATTAACCCTACTCCTTTGAATAAAAGCATTTTTGAGCAAAACAAGAAGATTCCTTTCTCTGGTTTGCTGTCTTGTTACTTTGACTCATGCTTTGAGGTAGTAACTGTCAAAACTGCTTGCTGGCTACAGCTTTACACAGACTAATTCTGCAGAATCTTTATGCTGAATCACGTGCTATCCTGCACAGATGTACACCCTAAGGAGGAAAAATACAAATAACACCCTTCTCACCTGGAGCTTAGATGTACATATGATTGTCTGCCAGCCCTATAATAAATGTTGGAAAAAATGTTTCAATATGAGGGAAGAGCAGGATGCTTTTTTATTCCAGTTAATATGCCAGTGTATTAACAAATGAGTTTGCATGTGCTTTCTCAGCAGTCATGCATTAAGACTTTTTACTGTGTTGAAAACAATATGATGCACAGATTGAATGTGAAGTGTTGGGGTGTTTTTGCAGACTCTGGTCTTCCAGGAGACATTATCTGAGAGCGTATAAATACTGTTTCCTTCACAGCCTCAAGATTGCTTTAAGAGATGGAGGGAGGTCCAGCTGGGAAAACTATACCAGCCCTCTTGTCAACCTGTGGCTGTTGAACAATTCATAATGCAGATACTGGGCTAAGCTCTGTTGCGTGATTTCCAGCATGGCTGTGTTGCAAAGTGGCTGCTGGGTAACCAAGCTTCAGCAATGGAGAGAAACAAGCCAGTAGGTGCTGTTGATGCAGCTTAACCGCATGCCCACCCCTGTTGTGCAGTGGATCTCGGGGATACCTGGTGAGCCATTGTCATTTTCCCACCTGTGAGCTGCTTTCAGCATTTTGTTTTCTAGTGTATGTAGCAAGTGTGTTAATAGAAGACTTTGAGGCTTGTAGCGGAAGAGCAACCTATCTTCTTGCTCCTGTGTTATTTCATTTTACTCCTACCTTGAGCCAATGTGAAGTATGCTGGCCTTGTAAGACAGAACAGTTACTAATCTCCCAATACCGTACTGTGTTCTGTATTTGTTATTGGCAGTTGAAAATTAAACTTAAATTTCCTATTAAGATCTAATAGACAGTGTAGAGAAAATGTTTATCAAATAACATTAGTTACAGCAGTTTCTACTGTCTGTGTAATCAAACATCCTCCTCAATGCAGGCTGGGGGATTAAGAGAACTGCAGTCCTATTTCTCACAGGCATATGTACAAAAATATGTTAATCTGAACAGGGAACAGAGTTAGGAGTACTGTGAACTTTTTTGCATTTAACTTACCTAGGGCAGCATTCTGACTGGACTTCAAAGCCTGAAAACCTTCAGCCCCTGAAACAGATACTGCATTTTTCAGTGACTATCCTAACTATTGGGTATAACAAATAGAGTTTGCATGGCAGTGACAATTTTAAGTATTCTGTCAGCTCTGCTTTGAGAGTAACACTGTTCCCTTCTTGTCAAATGCTGCATGTGTCTAGATGATACCCTTCCCTGAAGGAAACCTTTTCTAGTAGACCAAGTAGCAATCCTCTAAGCTTCTATTGTCAAAAGTTGTAGAGTAGGTACTGAGTTAGATGGGCAGTCAGTGTTTGAATGTAGAGAGCATGGTTACTGTGCTCTTTAATAGTGGGGTTGAAGAGAGAGGATATTTTGTGACCAGGGCTATTGTCTTGTATGCTTGGAGTCATGTGTTTACCACAGCAGATGCTCAAAAACACCAATGCTTCTATATAATGTAAGTTTAGGAGCTGTTCCCTTCCAGCTCTGACATTCAATTCATTTGGCATACTGTGCACTGCATGTATGGTTGGGGCCTGTTCTGTACTGTGAGGGTATATAGTAAGTTTTGTTTTCAGCTGAGTTCATGAATGAGGCCACCTGTGTCAGGGACTAAAATTGCCTTGCTCTTAATGGTGGTGTTGTGCATAGATAAAGTGCATGTATATCACAGAGTAAGATAAGATTAGAAGAAGGATCATCACGATGTCTTTTTCTTAATCTGAGGCTTTTGGATAGTTTGATTTAACTTCTGTGACTTAGGTCAGAAGTCTGGAAGGAATATTTGAGACTCTGGGAAAATATAATCTGGGTAAATTAATATGCAATCATATGCTATTAATCATCTAAATACTGTTTAATTTGTGACTTGGTTACCTTGTAAGGTTTATATCATGCTAATCATGCTTCAGCTTTGACAATCCATCTTTTATCACACCAACTCATTGAATATACAGCTGCTGCAATCTACTTGGCTTCTGTTCAGAACCACAACAGTCAAGGATGGTTTGTCTGGAGCCTGCAATGTGCATGCTTGCACAAAGGTCCAAGTTGTACACTTGTGCAAACTGGAATGTAACCTAAATGCCTTCTCTCCTGGGTTGAGACAGTCCTTCCCTTACCACCTTTTTATCATAAGTTACTGCTGTTTCTTCCTGAAAGGTTAGTACTTCTCTTTATGAACTTGATGGCTCTTACCTTGAGACTAATGGAATTTGAGTTAACTTCTATGCATTGTACTGAAACTGTTTATATAATTGAATTAAAACTTTGTTTTCTTTCTTCCACTTTGTTGACACAATAAATGTAGCAAAACTCATTGTTTGAGCACACAATACAGAAGGGGAAGGCGCTCTCTGTTTTAAACACAACTGATTTCATTTTCTCACAGATACCAGGATTACTTGTGGTGGCATGGAGAACAAGGACTGCTAGCTATCACGTCCTCATCTTGTCCCCCTGGTTCTCGATTGGTGCCAACGCTGTGTGATCCCTGCAGCCTTTTTGTTTTGACAAAGAAGGCTCAGAGCCAGATTGAGTTGTAACAGAGTTGTTGCTTTGCATTTATGGTATGCTCTTGTTCATGGTGTGCCCTTGATGCTGTCAGCACTCCAGGCAGCACTGCCAGTCCTTTACTTTCACCTGTGTTCATTCTTGGCTTTTGTGCCTGTTCTTGTTCTCTTGACTTACTGCATGTATACTGCTCAGTTAACACCTACTCAGCCATTTCTTCTGGTGCACAAATGTTTATGCTCCATGTGCTCCAATGTAATGATTCATTTACAGAGCAGGTTTCACCTGTGACCTTTTAATACTCATTTGCCTCTCTGAGAGAAGGGAGGAATTGTTAAAAAAAGGCTATAGTTAGGCCTGCTTTTCTTTTGAATCCCTCTGTTCTCCCTTGCATTTCATACTCAACTATGTCAACTTTGTCTCTGAGGTAAGGTATTCTCTCCATCAGGCTGTAATAAAATCACAGGGTAAAACAGGGATAGGTCTGGATGTAATTTTTCAGGCTGAGATAGAGAAACTTCTTGGAGAGCTATACTGAGTGCTTTGAACGCTTTTGGCAGGCTGTGTTTTGACATACACCTTGCTGATATTCAGTAGTGTGAGAGGCTGGGGAAAAGACATGCATGGCTGCAGTCTCTTTTTGGCTCCAAAATACAGCACGGCCTAGGAGAACCATCTGTTGATTCTAGCCTTCCTGAAGACCTGCTGGGAATTAGGTTTGTTCCTCTTGTAGCCCACCACCACTACCAAGAAGGGTCCAGAAGCAGCTCTGTTCTCGCTGGCTTGAGAACTCTGCTTGGGCAAACTTTGTTTGTCGTATAATGCCAACTTCTCACTTTCAAGCTTCGCCAGGTACAGCAGGAATAAAATCTCAGCTTTGATGCTATTGAACTAGCTTTGTGTCATCTCTGTGGTCAATTCTAGTTTGTTTTGTTTTCTTCTATTTGTGAGCACTTACTCAGAAAATGTCTATTTATTTCCTTTTAGAAACTCTTTCAAATAAAAGGACAGGGGGTTGGGTGGGGAGGGGTCTGTCTCTTCCTTCCAAAGAATTAAATCCACAGGCAAGCAGGTCCTGCACAAGGATTTTCTGAGAAGCTTGCTGTGTGGTCAGTACAGAGGCCATCAGGGTTGTGACCGTTCCCTTTAGTGCTGTTGGCTCAAATTGTGCCGAGAAACCTTTATACTAACAGCATTCATTGCTGTGATAAGAAGAGAACAGTATGCAGACAAGGGAGGGGGAGAGGGGGAATTTCACTCTTAATTAGAAAGCATTAGTGCAGTGTGGTTTATTGCCTGCTATGAGATATTTGTGCAACTTCAGCAGGGACACTGACAGTTACACGAAGCTGACTTTGACAACAGGTTGTGAGCTATGTGATTTGGTTTTGGGAAACCTTCAGTTTGGGCCAGGCTGGTAGGCAGGTACCCTCAAAGAATACTTAATGCTGTCCTGCATGGATTTGCCATCTGCGAATGAATCTGTCTGTCTCTTTCTTTTTTTTTTTTTTTTTTTTTTTTAAGGGAAGAAGTTCACTGACAAAGAAAATTAACAGATAATTAACAAAGTATTGCAATCTGACAATTCTGAAGAAGTCTGCTACCGAGTTGACAAATGTAGAACTGTCTTTTTCTTGCTACTTGAAATTTACCCATATGTTCAGGAGCTTCCTCTGGTTTTCTCACATCAGCATCCTGAGGAAGTCAACAGTGCAGAAAGACAGTGCCACCATGGTTTCTATCTTTATATATGGTGGTGGAAACCTATTTTAATCTATCAGACTTAATTGCAGTTAAAATGCTGATTTACAGTCGGATCAGTTTTTCCTGCCACTAGAGGGAGTGTCTGACAGAAGTAAGGCAGATGGTCGGATGTTGTAACAACTGTGTGACCTTAACCTAACCCTTGTCTCCGATAATCATCGCTCTGCCAGCTTGGAGGTCCTTGTAAGGATGGAGAACTGGGCTGTCTCTCAGCATGCAGCTTGAGCCTGCTTAACTTCATATTCTTGTGGAACTTCTTTAATAAGACCTTTTATATTGACCTTATCTAGTAACTTGGGGGCATGCAGGCTTCCTTTATTTCATGTGTCACTCACTAACTCCAGTAAGACTTAGGGCCTCAAGCCAGCACCAGGGTCCCTGCTGCTGGCTGGTTATCTGAGTGTCAGAAATGTGTAACTGTGCTGGGAAACGCTGCTGTCTCCTTTTCTCCTAGCACAATGTTTCCTTAGTGTCATCTGACTTGAATGTCTACGTCAGTTATTTGTAAGCTAAAGGTATTAGCTGTGATTAATAAACCTGAGACATCATATAATAAAATACTGATTTAGGAATGAAAAGCTATACTGCATACAGTTGCTGAGAGGTCAGAAAGAATGACACTTATAACTGGCGTTACATGGTATTGTGCTAAAAAGGGTCAGCAAAGAGCGTGCAAATGCAGCACTTGGAGAGTTCAGCACGAAGTTGTGTAATATTACTTCTCTGTACTTTTCTTACAAAAATTAACCTACTCAGAAAGGTTTAGTTGGTGCATTTCCTTAATAGACAATGCAGATCTTAATCCACTTTGAATTAACATTGGCATGAAAAAACAACTAAGCAACCAGTTTGTTAAACTATCGTTCTCAAAATAAAAGTGTGGTTTTTTAAGCAAATTTGCCTGGAATTACCAGCCTTGTGGTTTTTTTAATACTAAAATCTTCAAATGCTATGAAATGCCCTCTTTCAAGTCCAACAAGTGAAACATTTCACTTGATCAGGATCTAACCAAATTTGACTACTTAAGTGCATGGATTTTTTTTTTCCTTTTGCTTGAGGTTTTTTTTTTTATTATTACTATTACCATCTAGAAAAGATTAGTGTGAATTATGGAACACTAATAAAGATATAGTGGAAGATACCACCACCTAGCATTATGACCAACCTGATATTCTGGAAGGGCCAGTTACATGTGCGTGTCTGGCCCCACATGTACTGACAGTCTCTGTCATCAGGCCCATCTCAGAGATTTATATTTGCAGGTTGCTCTTGCCTTGCACTGGCAGATCATTCAGTGCTCTCTTTGCTATTACAGTTGCTCTGTGTGCCTCCCTGCACCTCCACACACAATCTTGAAGGTGATCATCCAATTATAGCACTAAAAAATACTATAGTATATGTCTGTTACTAGATCCCAAGCCAAATGATGCTTTTCTGAAAGCTGCTACTGGGAGATGTACTTCCTGCCCTAGAGAGGCTGACAACAGCTTGAAAGCTTATATCCTAAAAGCTCAAACATCAAAAGACAACACAAGTTAATTTTTTTCTGTCATTGGACTCTTTGCAGCCATTATTGTAATGCACTTATTTACTTATTTTTAAGCGGAGTGGCAACTGGAGCATCAAATAAGGCGTAGTGGCCAAGAACTCCAAGCTAAAGGAGTAATGGGTGACCTGGTGCTCTTGGCAAATATTGGCATGGGCCATACCCTGCCCTTGAGCTTCTTGCACCGAGCTAAGCTTAAAACATCTCTGAGATGCTTCAACTGCTAAGGGTGCACTTTTGTGTCTAAGTGGGCTACTCCCACTTGCTTTTGTCAGGTCTACAGCTGGGCTATACTGTGCTGTGGCAGCTGGTCCTGGCATGATTCCTAGATACACTGGCTTTTGGAAGATATCCAAAGGTTCTAGAAGCCCTTGACTACCTAAGAAGATCTGGGTAATAATCCAGGTGTTGGTGCATACTTGGTAAAAAAACTGAGGAAGTAATGAGTTTATTATGGCCTGCAGCCACCTAGACTGTGAGGTGGGGATGGTCTTGCAGTCACACACAAGTAAAACTCTTAGGTGGTAAATAAATGTTAGTGTCTGATCACACCTTTGCATGGTGCTCCCCTTTACTGGAATACCTTTTCCACAGGAAACTATGCCAGTGAACATCACAGCAGTTAGGTCATTAGCTGTGTAAGAGGTTCAGTTTGGATCTGAGTGGTGGTTTCCAGAAGACGCGCATGCATGTGCACAGACATTTCCTCTCCTTCCCATAACCACAGTTTTGACTGGTGTCTAATTGCTAGGCTCAAGCAAAATACACGTTTACCTAAAAAGCAATGTCACATCTTTTGTATTTTAACAAGCATATAAAGTCTAAATTTACACTATAAAAATCAACTCATTTTATATAAGTGGCCACCATGATGTGTAACAATCTGGTTTTGTTTCTTTCTGATTGCATTTACATTTGGAAAGATTTTCTGTATTTCATTTCGCCTGATAAACAGCCAAGTGTTTGATTTCTCCTCATTGGATGCAGACTTTTTGTGCTCTTCTCTTTGCCAGCTGGCACAAACCAAAATCATTTAATTACTGAAAAATCTTGAAATTACAAAACATCGAAAGCATCATTCCAAGTTGCAGCTTCATTTCAGAAAGTGTGAACAAAACAACACAATTCCTAATATTCTTACTCTAAAGTACACTGAGCTGGTTCATACTACACAAGTACTGAGGAAGTAGAGAGTCCTTGCATGTTCCTGGTAAGTTACAATTTCCCTGTACTATGCGACAAAGCTTTCTGCTTCACCGCTAACATTTTTTTTTTTTGAGTTCTTTATAGAGGTAGTAAAACTGCATTCTTCTCACAGTGAAGGGGGACAGTGAAAACCTCTGGTTCTGTTACAATAATCCATGTAGAAGTGAGTTGGGAATGAGTAAAGTGAATGCAAATGGAGGTGCAACATCTGCAAGCGAGACTGCTGTTGGGATCCAAGGGTAATGCCTTTCCTGGTGACTCGAGCAAAACTGATGTGCCACGGGTCACTGGTGTGTACAAAACAGGGCTGGATACCTTGCAGGCAGAGTTTTACAGGCTGCCTGAAGGTAAGTGGATCAAAGAGACCTGCTTCTGGGGCTTCAGGTTCTGCTACTCTGCTCTGCTTGCATACATGCTGACCGAGGAAGGTGGCTTGCTCCCAGGGCGCAACTGGCTTCTTACCAGCATTTTTTCTGGGGAGTGCCACATGGTTAACAACTTCTAACCAACTGCTTTACTTCATTCCTTGCTCCCCAGCACCTGAACCGAGCCCAGAGTTTTAACTCCATTCCTGGGTACTCCTTCACTGTCTTTCTTACCATGGGGCCAGTTCTTGCCCCTGTTCTGCCTGACTCATTAAATCTCTGTAAATCTGCGTTCATAAAATTCCTTACACAAAGCCAGGCCAAAGCATCTTGCCTTTCTCTACTAATGCTATGGATTCCCTGTCAGTTGAAAGCCTAAGTCAGAATTAGCATCTCTTCAAAGAGGCACTCTTTACCCTGCCAAAAGGAACAGTTCGAGGCAGGAATTACTGGTTGAAGATTTCTAGCCAGTAAATCAGATTAGGGGAACACAACAGCCTTTTCTGATTTCAGAATATGTATTTGATGGGTAAAGCTTATTCTAAATGCATGGATAGTTTCAGAGTGACAGTTCTTTTCATGCAGTAACATCTGCTCATTGCTTTGCTATTAGCCTGCTTAATGCTTGCCAGCAACACAGCAGGAAAGTTCAAGCATTTCTGGTGATGAATTTTTCACTTAAAAAGCCCAGGGCTTTGGGGTGCTCTAACTGATTGGAAAGTCCATTACAGAACTCTGCTGTTTTCTTCAGTGCAGAGGCTGGATTTGTGTCAGTGGTAATAGTGCAGCATTAACAGACCTGCATGGAGCAGTGAATTAACGGTGTTCCTCACCCAGTGAATGCTTTGAATGCTTGTTGCTATCGCAGATGTGCTGATGGTGTACTCTTCCACCATACCCTTACGTCACCTTCAGCAGTCTCTCTTTGCAAGACAGTTTCATTTTTAAGTTA